TTACAAAGGTTTAATTCAGTATTATAAACCTGATTGCAGAGGTAGAAATTGCGAGGGGAAAAAGAAATAGAAAACAGACTGGTGTTTAAGTCATGAAGAACATACTGCCTTTGCATAAGCAACATAGGAAAAACAAGCAGTTGTGACAGTAATAAAATTCAGAGCAATCCTGAGACCTGGCTGGGTTTAAAATGGAGTCCGTGGCATTTGAAAACTAAGCCAGGTGTTTAAAAAAAATATACGTAGGAAGGTCAGGAAGAAAAAGAAAATTTGAAGATGAAGTGTCTTTCCAGATAAATAATGGGTAAAGGAGAAAAAAAAAGTGAGGTAAAAAAAAGTTATGGCCAGAAAAAATGTCATTGTCTGGGTGGAAAGAAAACTGATAATAGATAAGTATAAAATCTCAGATTTGTAAGGTTTTGTATTTTTATCTATTTTTTAAAAATTTGATTCTAATATGTTGAGAAGGGGCACCTTATCGTAAGAGTTCAAAAAGAAAACACTGGGATAGGAAAGAAGCATTAAAGAACATTAACTACATAAGATGAAGTAGAAATCACGTGGATTATTAATTTTACGGGGATACTTAACAGCTATTGGCTAGTTTAAGGGTTGTTGCGGAAGTTATAAATTCCTGGAGATGGAGGGAGAGTTACTGGATTATCTGTCTATTAATCAAAAGGGAAAAGGAAGCCCTGGTAATTAAGTAGCTGTCACCTGAACTTCAGTACTCAGAAAGACAAGCGCGAGCCATCAAACAATCAATTTGCAATCACCAGGAACTGAGAACAGAGTAAGCACTGGCAGGCCTTGCAGAGAACAATTTTGTTTCGCGATGAAGAGACAGGAAGGGTAGATAAGAGGGACTTTAAGAGTTAGAGACTATGTGGATTTCAGTAGTAAATTTTCATCGTTAATCAGAAATCATCTGAACTGTGGACCTCGGTGTCGTGATAGTGTTTATGGTATGCATGCACTCTTTAAAATCATTTGAATTAAAATATTTTGTTTCATGAATTAATATGCTACAACTATTTGAGATGTTTCATTTACAACCACAGAGGAATTCCACCTCTTTTGATGAGCACAAAGGTGATTTGACCCAGTTTATAGGCCTGTCATAATTCTGAAACAATTTGTATGGTTCTCCTGTTCTTTGAGGCATGTCTGTGCACATAAATAATCTGACCAATCATCTCCTAAAAAATGCCTCCAGGAGAAGAAATTTTGCCAAAATAATCACTTCGCTCTTAACAATGAATGATATGCTCAATCTTGGCCACAAATTTATCCTATTGATGTTTTTGGCATAATTTCTCTAGAATGAACTTGATGAGTATTATAACCCAGCACAAGAAAGGAAAAAACCCCTATGATCCCCACATGTGGTACAAATTTACTTGATATTCATTTCTTCAAAATTTGAAGGCATTATTTATCTCAACCAACTGCAGGTCTCTGAAATGAATATTCTATATGGGGATCTTAGCATTTTCACACACTGATCGCTGCTATACTCTGTTTATTCACAAGGAAAAAGCAGCTAATAGTTCGGGATTGTAACATTCATTAGAACTTGCCTTTACATCGAAGCCATCTTAGATTACTGAACTACTGAATTTTTGAAACATATCCATTAACACTTTGAAAAAATTATATCACAAAATTACTACAAAAATCCAATTTGGTTAGAAATGAAATGTAAAAATAGTGCTTTTATTTCAAAAAAGAATTATAAAAAGAAAAAAAGCAATAATGGCTCATAATTCTAACATCACTATAACATGTTTCCATTAAATATAAATACAATGGAAATATAAAGCCTCCCCAGTATTTTAAATATATTAGCAGTTTTCATGTTAACTGTCCAGAAATATTCTATGTGGAATGAATGTCAGTACTTTTATTTATGCAAATATGTTGATAAAATATTTAATATCCGGGCTTCTCTGGTGGCGCAGTGGTTGAGAATCCGCCTGCTAATGCAGGGGACACGGGTTCGAGCCCTGGCCTGGGAGGATCCCGTATGCCGCGGAGCAACTAGGCCCGTGAGCAACAACTACTGAGCCTGCGCGTCTGGAGCCTGTGCTCGGCAACAAGAGAGGTCGCGATAGTGAGAGGCCCGCACACCGTGATGAAGAGTGGCCCCCGCTTGCCACAACTAGAGAAAGCCCTCGCACAGAAACGAAGACCCAACACAGCAAAAATAAATAAATAAAATTAATAAACTCCTACCCCCAACATCTAAAAAGAATTTAATATCCGACTTTTAACTTTTTTATTGGAGTATAGCTGCTTTACACTGCTGTATCAGTTTCTGCCATACCGCAAAGTGAATCAGCCATTCATAGACATATATCCCCTCTTTTTTGGGATTTCCTTCCCATTTAGGTCACCACAGAGCGCCGAGCAGAGTTCCTTGTGCTATACAGTAGGTTCTCATTAGTTATCTATTTTATACATAGTAGTGTATATATGTCAATCCCAATCTCCCAATTCATCCCACCCCCCCTTGATATCCATACATTTGTACTCTGTCTGTACCTATTTTTACTTGAAATTATTCCACTTTAGCAGATATAAATATGCATCATTTTTGACTGCCACGTAATATTCCATTGTCAATATACCATGATCCATTAACTAGATATGATGGATATTTATATTTCAGCATTGACTTTGCATTGAAAAAAAATCCTGTTCTAAATTTATTTCAAGAACTGGCTGAGCCATGAATGAAATTACAATTTAAATTATATTTTAAAAAATGTCAAAGTACACATGAGAGTTTTCTCAAGATCAAACAGAAAAGAAATACCCCATCAGCTTACTCTGAAGCATTAGGGAATAAAGTTTTGGGAAAGTTCAATGAGATGATTCTTGTGAAACCTCAGCTGAGTGCTAGAAAGTAATTAGGGCTAAAAATGTTCATTTGGGAAGTAGCCTAGAGATGGTGGTAGGGAGCCAGTGTGTGAGGTTCATCTGCTGGCCCAGAGAAGCAAGGGAGTAGGTTGGTGACCCATGAGATAGGGACAAAAGAGGGGGAAAAAAAAAACACCCTCAAAAAAAGGGAAAATGTCAGCTAAGGTGATGAGCTAGAAGGGCTGTTTGAGAAAAAATTAAGCAAAGCGGAAGGTGTTCACAGGAGAGTGAAGTCACATAGGGCCCTTAGAAGCAGCTGACAAACAGGAGGCTGGGTGGTATAGAAAAGGGAAGACAGGAGCTGGAAGCAAGTGAGAATAATGAGAATTGCTCACTTTCTTTACCAGAAATGTGGACACTTCCCAAGGAGGGTTCTTGCTAAAGATGAACTTTCTTTATTCATAAACCATGAATGAGGTCTTAAAATATGTATCATGTAGAAGAAAATATATTTTTGAGTTGAAAATACTCTCCTTCTAAAAAGTTTTCCCAAATCATTGATTTCTCCAACAGTATTTCCCATTATACAAACCTCAGACCAAATAGAGAGGAATGGGACAAATTGAAACTAAGGTTCCTGCAGTTCTAGAATCAAATGTATAATGTAATGTGCTATATTAAATATATTTATATTCTATACTAAATTGTTCATTAACCATGAAATTCTCATTAGCCCTTGTAGAAAAATTGTTAATACACAAAAATGTTCAATTCCAGTTTGGACAATGTGAAAAGAGAAAGTATAAGTCAAAGTAGAATTTAATTACTAGGTCTAAGTGGCAGAAATCTTAACATGAATACTGTAAGAATTCAAACTACTATGCATGCTATGACTGCTCTCAGTAAAGGCAGGACAAATATATGTAAGAATACATTAAGCCATCCAAGGGGCATAATGGAAAAAGAACACGAGCCACGTCAGCCGAATTTTTTATTTAAATTTAAGTATAGTTCCTGCCTTCAATAACTATTTTCTGTGAAATCAAAGATTCCCTATGAGATATCTGGATGTAAACTACAAGTAATCATTTAATATATCAGGAATGCAACCTTTAACTATAATGAATATGATCACACAGAAATAAACAGATTTTACTACATAAATTTATATTAATATTAATTACAGTATATGTTTATCATAGTAAATTGAATTTGCTAAAGGACACTTTAAATGAACTCATCATTCTAGTGGTAACTAAACTACCTATCTTTATACAGAGTAGGTGTGTTTATAAATCAGAAAGTTTATCACCTTACCTTTTCGCAGATTGCTCAAAACAAAATACACTAAAACATTCTAATCCGAGCACAGCACAGGTCTACAATCTATGGTAATCACCAGCATTGGAAAATCAAAGGACTAATTCCCGGCCAATTGTACTGACCAACACTATTGTAACAGAGGGAGAATCTAGGACTTTTTCAAGCTCAGGTAATTACTTGTGAGCACAACCAGTTATAGGAAGTGAAGGAAAATAAACTCTAGAAATTCTAGATGGTGAGAAAAAAAAGGTGAAAAATTTCACTCCTGAGCTTGAGAACAATTGACAACATACAAATAAACAATGCCTCAAACAGACATACATAAAAGTACCAGCCCTGTTTCCCTCTCCCTCTCTCCCTCTGTCTCTCACACACACTCATACACTCAGAGACAATTGTAGGATGAACATATTAGTGCTGCTGTGACATATATCCACATAACAAATCTTTGCACAGGTATTCACATTTCACTGAATTTCCTTTCTAATACTCATAAAGTTCAAAAAAAAAAGGTATCTGAGAAACAAGACAGATTGGCTAGAAGTTAAGTAATACTTCACTGAAAAAGTGGGATTGTTGGGTAAGCCACAGATAGAAAAGACGAGAGAACTTTCAGAACACCACAGAATGCTATCATATTTCTAAAATGTCAAGAAGAATCAAACTTATTTTTGACAAACTAAAGAGAAGGAATTAATGTATCCTCTAACCTGTGTGGCAAAGTTAAAACTGAAGTAATGCATTCAAGAACTAGGAAAAGAAAGCAAGGATGAAAGTGGCCATTATGTTTTCACAGATCACTACACATAAAATACCTTTTTACTATATCTTCTCCGTTCCAGCATGGCAGTCCGTCACCAGCCGCTAATTCATTAGCACAAAGTTGATCAGCCAGGCCTCCATAGAATGTCCTGTACAGTCGAAGGCTGTTGATAAATTCTCTGAATGGAAAAAACAAAGAAAACAATTAAACCCAAAAATCCATAATAAATGCCAATATGAATAGCATAATTTGTTATGCATAGTGTTTAGAATGTAACTTTTAAATTTTTCTCTACTTATTTTCATATATTTTCAATACTTTTCTAACAAGACAAAAACTACATTTTTTTAAAAATGTATTCAAATTTATTCTTTACATAGAAGTTTTCACTGGGTATGAACTTTATATAACTCCAGGTCCAAGAAGCTGTGAATAGTATATGCATACGCACGCACACACACACACACACACACACACACACACACACACACACAACACCACTTCAGCTTCCCTAAAAGCCCTCATTAGCTACTGGCATTTAAACCACAGTGATATTAACTAATTTCTTTTCCATATAGAAATGTCAGAGGCTTATAATAAGCTGACTGATTGCTCACTGATTAAAGGTTTAGTAGACTTGGGTGATTTTCCCATGTGGGGCTTCTCTTTAGGGTCTAAGAACATCAGATAATATGTCTTTACTAAATATGAGAGAACCCAGGTATGTAACACACTTCAGAAGCATGAAAATAAAAGTTATTGGAGGGAGTAATATTTAATACATTTATTAAGTTTTTTCCCTCTCATACTATCGGGTTGGCCAAAAAGATCGTTTGGATTTTTCCTGTAAAACCTGAACGAACTTTTTGGCCAACCCAATATTTCCCCTTTCACCATCAATTATGGAAAGGGAAAATTCAACAAAAAAGCAGTTTTTCAATTTAGAAATCCAAGACTTTGGAGTTTTAAAACCAAGGCTTTGAGGTCTCAAGAACTTGAGTTTTAGCATGTCAAAAGACCAAGTCCTTAAGACTTTAGCTCTGAACTTTTAAACATAAACAATTGTTTTGGGGAAAAAGAAAAGAAAAGCCACTAGCCTGATCCAGAGGAAATGCCCCCTCTGGACTAAAAGGCAGGGAGAGGAGATGGAAACGTTGGCAGAAAAGCAAACGTCAGAAATTCGTGGGATGAGTAATTTAAATATAGCAATTATGAAACTGCATTCTCCATTGATACCTTTAAAATGATTTCTTTAAAAATGAAATTAAAGAGCAGGGGTGTCTATAAATTATAGCTGGAATAAACAATTTTTAAAAATTAAATCTAATTTTGACAGCACTAATGCTCAACCATTTCAACTTGTAATTCTCTCTCTTATTGGTTTTCAAAGAACTAACTGTAGAAACTGCTGGAGTTGTAAATAACCACTACTCTGTTGGAAGGATAAATATAACTTTCAAATATGTAAGATCTGCAACCATAGAGAAGATCAGAAGTTCCCATGGCAAGTGGCCGGTGAGTATTTAATCAAATTTTTAGCAAAGTTTGACCGGACAAGTGATAATAAAATGGTTGCAGGAAGCACAAATCTCTAACCCACGCTCAATCAAAAAAAAAAAAAAAAAAAAAAAAAGATGATGCTTTATTTTCTCACTAGCACAGTTAAATGCTTATCTATATTTTATCGATTTCCTCTTCTAGAAAATAAGTCTCTCCTTGATGGCTGTGTTCCACTAACTGGAATGCATGAACAAACATCAATTCTCATGCTGCAGCTACGAAAACATAATTGATGAAATTGACTGGTTCTTTCTTAGAGAGGTGGGGTTTAATGAACAGGAAGATGTATGGCTCCTGTCCTGAATTCTATTCACTATAAATGACCACATGTTTGGAATCAAAGAACCTTTTAGAAATGAAGAGGCCTGGCACAAATGGCTGCAAATGTTGAGAACTTCAAATTGATCATGTAAAACTGAACAGATAATTTTTGGCCCCCAAACCTCCTACTTCACTCTTGGTAAATGGTGCCTTTGTTTCATTTCTCCCTTCACAACCAATCGATCATAAGGGGGAAAGTTCACATCGTTCTTTCAGTTCCCTTTCCCCACGCTACTGCCATTGCCTTTGCTCAAGCCTTGATCATCTTTCTCTGGAATTACTGTACCAGGAGAGCATACCTCCCATCGGTTCCTTTAACCATCACCTCCCATCCTCCATGAGAGCCACCTATAGAAATTCAAATCTGGTAGTCCACAGATTATGCCACGTACTTGCTTAAAGTCATCAAGGGCTCTCTATTCTCTACAGCATGAAATCCAAACTTCTTAGAAAGCTACATAAGGTACCCTCTCATCTCAATTTCAGCAACAACCCAAACCACACTTTCGGGTTCCACAAAAGTGAGATGCTTGCTGTCCTCCAAACTTACTTCCAGGCCTTTGCCTGCGTTGTCTCTGAAAGGATAGTCTCCTCGAAGATTTCCACTCATTCCATAAACCATCGGCTATCAATTATTTGTCACAAAATACTAAACACTATGGAGTGCCAAAATCTGTGTTGGCGCTAGGGATTCATAGCTAAAGAAAACAGTCCCTGCCTTCTAAGAATGCACATTCTGGGAAAAATCCACAATGATAATACAGTATTAATAAGTAGTGTCACATTTGAAGACAAAGAAAGAAACAGGAAATAAGATAACATATCAGTGTTCCATGCAAAAAACACAAACCAAGAAGCAAACAACAACAATAAAAATCCAGGATAAACAAAGGTAAAGAGGGACATTGTGTATTCAGAGACTCATACAGTTAGGTTAGCTAGTAAGGAGTGTGCTTATGGGAATCACAGTCAAAGGCAGGACGAGGCCAGATTATAATCGGCCTTGTTGATCATCATAAGATGTTTCAGTTTTATTCAGGTGGTGAGAGCCATTAATTTTTCCAGCAAGCAAGCGACATCGTCATCATCGCAGTATTGTGGAAACAGAAAAGCAGTGAGGTCACTTAGGAGAGTATAAGCAAGTCCAGAGCGAGACGTATGAGGATGGGGAAAAAAACCTTCCAGTCAACGTCAGGAAAATGACAGATTTGAAAACCATTAGGAATCTAGAATTGACAGGTAAAGCAAAGGTTTTAAGATGACTTCTAATTGTCTTCCCCTCCCCAATCAGGTAAACTACACTTTGACGGTAGCTTTGTCTTTGTGAGTTGCCCTGGGTTCTAGTCATGTACGCAGAAGTGATGTTTGTTCCCTCCAGGCTTAAGCTTTAAGGACCAACGTGGCTTTGCCAGCTTCTGTTTCCCTCTCCCCTGATGGCAGGCAATGTTTCAGATGGCAGCTGCTCTGTAACTCTGAGGCTTAAAGCCAGAGGAACCGCAACTTGAGCAGTAGCCCTGCTGGTCTGAAATGGGCATTGGTTGGGAACAAAAACAATTTTTTTGGTTCTAAACCAATGATAGGTTGAGGTGTTTTGCTACCACGTCACAACCTAGTCTCTCTTAATTGATACAAAGCTAAGAAAAACAAATGAATAACTGATGGATCATAAGTTCTGAAAAGAAGAGAGGGGAAGGATTATGGAAAACAGAGTGGTTAGCTTTGGAGCAAATTCCCTGAGACTAAAAGAATGGAAGAAAGTCCACGTGAATGTTGAAATAAGGTTTGATTTGTGAGGATAGAAATTGAGCAGAGAACGTACTTTGGAACTCTATAATTCTGTGTGTGGCAGTTTTGAGGTCACAGGAATGAAGACTAGTGTTGCAAAAAAGTGGTCGCGTTGAAGGACCAGGAGATCTGTACTGGATATAGAAAAATAATAATCATAGTTGAATTGGTAAGAAATGAAGGGCTCAAATAACTAGAAGCCATAGTGAGGTTAAAAACATTGACCTGCTGCCACAGCTCCAGTGAATGTTGATCATGAGAAAAGAATCCATACTTCAGTTCCCAGCTTATGCTCAGCCTACTTTAAAAAAAAAAAATGCACCAGGTCCTCCTTTTCCAGTTGTACATGAAATGTCACAACGAATAAAACGTTATATTCTTTGGATGATTCAAAATTTAAGTTGCTGGAAGGGTGACTCTATCCATACATTTATTTTTCTACAGTCATGAGAATATTTCCAGTTAAAATTAGGAGAAAAATAAATTCAAGATGTTAGAGCTTCCAGATAATTAACCTTGAGGAGCTGTGTTACGTACATGTTGTTTGCTCATCTTGGTCTTAAGACAGCTCAAGAACACAGAAATCAAACATTATTAAGAGTAACACTCCAAAAATATTTTTAAAGAGGAAAACATGCTTTGCCAGAATATTTATTCAAAGCCTATATGTCAGGGCCACATGCGAATTTATAATTTCTCATTTGGGATTACAACAGTCTAACAAATGATTTCTCTGACTAGGTCTGCCCTCCCATCTTCCCTTCAATGCATGCCCCAAGTTCTTACGAGAATTCGCTCCAGAAAACAGCCATAACACTTTCCTCCTTTAAAATCCTAAGCATTCAGGTAAAATGTCTTACCGTGGCTCATCATCTCTCTACCCTTTGCCCCTCAGTTGCCCTGACAGTCCCCTTTCCCTCCAGTCTCACACCCCAGCCAAAACCACACACTCATATTGCCTAAGAAATCTCTAAGATGCCACCTTTTCTTCTCCCCAGAATGGCCTTCCCTCCCACTTCTCCCTGTCAACCATCTACCCATCCTTCAAAATCCAGCTTTATCCTCATCTCCTCCCTAACTCCTTGCCTGACCAGCCTGTGACGCTTCTGTTGGTCTATCCGTTTCTCACGCCACACTTGCCATCTGTTTTATAGCCCTGGTTATCTGGTATTATATTTTGCTGTCTGTATATCTGCCTCCCTGATTAAAGGGTGCATTCTCTAAAGACAAGAGCCATGTCTGCTTTATATCCCCTGGGTCGGGACCACAGTGTGGTACCCCACAGACACCTAACAAATTCTTGTTGAATTGGCCCCAGATGCGGTGTTAGTTTTTAACAACTTCCAGAATTAGACGTTTCTACAATGAAATACAATTTTCAAAAACGATAATGATAATTTAAAGGCCTTAAAGAGCACAGCTGACTTGGGAAACTTTAAATTACGGGACCCACTCCTAGATTGTGAAGCTATATCAGAAAGACCTTCCTAGAAAATGGAAGGAATCTCAAGG